AGACTGCAACATACAACATTACGTTGGTAGACTGCAACATACAACATTACGTTGGTAGACTGCAACATACATTACGTTGGTAGACTCCAACATACAACATTACGTTGGTAGACTGCAACATACAACATTACGTTGGTAGACTGCAACATACATTACGTTGGTAGACTCCAACATACAACATTACGTTGGTAGACTCCAACATACAACATTACGTTGGTAGACTCCAACATACATTACGTTGGTAGACTGCAACATACAACATTACGTTGGTAGACTGCAACATACAACATTACGTTGGTAGACTGCAACATACATTACGTTGGTAGACTGCAACATACAACATTACGTTGGTAGACTGCAACATACATTACGTTGGTAGACTCCAACATACAACATTACGTTGGTAGACTGCAACATACATTACGTTGGTAGACTCCAACATACAAAATTATGTTGGTAGACTGCAACATACATTACGTTGGTAGACTCCAACATACAACATTACGTTGGTAGACTCCAACATACATTACGTTGGTAGACTGCAACATACAACATTACGTTGGTAGACTGCAACATAAAACATTACGTTGGTAGACTCCAACATACAACATTACGTTGGTAGACTCCAACATACATTACGTTGGTAGACTCCAACATACAACATTACGTTGGTAGACTGCAACATACATTACGTTGGTAGACTCCAACATACAACATTACGTTGGTAGACTCCAACATACATTACGTTGGTAGACTGCAACATACAACATTACGTTGGTAGACTCAAACTTACTACATTACGTTGGTAGACTGCAACATAAATTACGTTGGTAGACTCCAACATACAACATTACGTTGGTAGACTGCAACATACATTACGTTGGTAGACTCCAACATACAAAATTACGTTGGTAGACTGCAACATACAACATTACGTTGGTAGACTCCAACATACATTACGTTGGTAGACTGCAACATACAACATTACGTTGGTAGACTCCAACATACAACATTACGTTGGTAGACTGCAACATACATTACGTTGGTAGACTCCAACATACAACATTACGTTGGTAGACTCCAACATACAACATTACGTTGGTAGACTCCAACATACATTACGTTGGTAGACTCCAACATACATTACGTTGGTAGACTGCAACATACAACATTACGTTGGTAGACTCCAACATACAACATTACGTTGGTAGACTCCAACATACATTACGTTGGTAGACTGCAACATACAACATTACGTTGGTAGACTGCAACATAAAACATTACGTTGGTAGACTCCAACATACATTACGTTGGTAGACTCCAACATACAACATTACGTTGGTAGACTCCAACATACATTACGTTGGTAGACTGCAACATACAACATTACGTTGGTAGACTGCAACATAAAACATTACGTTGGTAGACTCCAACATACAACATTACGTTGGTAGACTCCAACATACAACATTTACAGCGTCGCTACATTAAAAATTAACGCTGTACTTCATCTTTTAAACTGCCGAGTAAATGCTCTAATATTACCGTGAGCATAAACTAGGCTGTCCCTGCCACCGGATTTACAATTAGCTTTTACTTCTTTCTTTATTATTTATTATCTTTAAATTATAAGATATGGAGGTCTGGTCATGGACCGGTCAGCGGGGGTAGGGAGAGGGGCGCTGACCCCCACACATCCTCCTCTAGGTAAGGAATCCAACGGAAAAAAAGTTTCTGACTTTTTTATGACTACCCTAGGTAATTTACACATATGTTACTATGTTCCAAAATAACCACAGGGAAAGTTGGATGATAGCTCTAGGCCTTTCGTCTTGTAATCAACACATCAGAAGCTTGCAATGTTGCAGGAATAAAGCAGGAAATCCAGGAAGGTCCGTACTTGTGTACGGGTTTTCTTGGGCGAGTCATTCACACGAACGAACCATCCTGGATTTCCTGCTTTATTTCTGTAACCCTGCAAGCTCCTGATGATCTGATGATTGCAACCCGAAAGGCCCAGAGCTATCATTTAACTCCAGCTGTGGTTATTTTGTATCTTGTGTCGCTTGTTCGCGATTACTGCACATGTTACTATGCATAATAATAGTACTTAAGTGTACCTGTATCTAAATAAACTTTCTTAACAGCCTGATGGATCACAGACCAGGGCCGCGATAATCCCACGGAGGATCGAGCCTACACACACACACACCTACAATTTTTGTACTGATTTCACAATACCTATAACAATCAAGTTAAGCCCTAAACCCGAAGGGGATCAAAGAGCACTGCTTTCGAAGTTACTGTATTTTGTAGAGCTCTAAACCCGTGTGAATCAGTCAGGACCGGGTGGTGGGGGGGAGGGGGGTTGCATGTTAAAGTTTACCTCTTCGTTTTGTTCCAGTTTTTATCTTTATCTTCAACATTCATTACTTTGTTCCTGCTGTTTATTGTGCAGTTGTTACTTTGATTACTGTGTATTCTTTACTTTATTATGTCTTACTTTGTTTATTGGGTATTTCTTATTTGGTTTATCGTTTATTTCTTTCTTTGTTTATCGTGTATTTCTTACTTTATTTATCATGTATTTCTTACTTTGTTTATCATGTATTTCTTACTTTGTTTATCATGTATTTCTTACTTTGTTTATCATGTATTTCTTACTTTGTTTATCATGTATTTCTTACTTCATTTATCATGTATTTCTTACTTTGTTTATCATGTATTTCTTACTTTGTTTATTATGTATTTCTTACTTTGTTTATCATGTATTTCTTACTTTGTTTATCATGTATTTCTTACTTTGTTTATCATGTATTTCTTACTTTGTTTATCATGTATTTCTTACTTTGTTTATCATGTATTTCTTACTTTGTTTATCATGTATTTCTTACTTTATCATGTATTTCTTACTTTATTTATCGTGTATTTCTTACTTTGTTTATCATGTATTTCTTACTTTGTTTATCATGTATTTCTTACTTTATTTATCGTGTATTTCTTACTTTATCGTGTATGTCTTACATCTCTGTGTATATCCTACATATATTATTACGTTCAGATTACTCAGACACTAACCCAGGAGTTCACAACTGCAGTAATAACACGGCTTAACATTACTCAAGCCTCGTACACAGGGTAAATTTCTATATACAAATCTTTTCCTAAACGGACGTGGGGATTTATTATCAAAATATTGTTTAGTTAGATGAAATTTAGAGAAAATGCGAAGATATAAAACTGTTAAAAGAAAATGAGAAATAAAAATTGGGGCAGGGGGAACTGCAGAAAATGGAAACAAGAGAGACTGGGTGACGACAGGAAAAATAAATTTTTAAGAGAAATTGAATTCCTAGACAATGCTAAGGACAGGAAATGGAATTGACGGAAAATGAAAAAAAAATGCATGTGCGTATTCGCTGTCTATCGACAGGGAAGATTATGCAAAATGACAACCTAACAATTCTGAAAGCTGCTCGCAATATATATATATATATATATATATATATATTATATATATATATATATATATATATATATATATATATATATATATATATATAATATAATGTGTATGTGTGCGTGTGTGCGTATGTGTGCGTATGTGTGCGTATGTGTGCGTGTGCGTGTGTGTGTGTGTGTGTGTGTGTGTCTGTGTGTGTGTGTGTGTACTCACCTATTTGTGGTTGCAGGGGCCGATTCACAGCTCCTGGCCCCGCCTCTTCGCTGATTGCTACTAGGTCCTCTCTCTCCCTGCCCCATGAGCTCTATCATACCTCGCCTTAAAACTATGTATGGTTCCTGCCTCTACCACATCACCTTCTAGGCTATTCCATGGCCTGACTACTCTATGACTTTAGAAATACTTCCTAACATCCCTTTGATTCATCTGAGTCTTCAACTTCCAATTGTGACCTCTTGTGTCTGTGTCCCATCTCTGGAACATCCCGTCTTTGTCCACCTCGTCTATTCCGCGCAGTATTTTATATGTCGTTATCATGTCTCCCCTGACCCTCCTGGCCTCCAGTGTCGTCAGGCCGATTTCCCTCAACCTTTCTTCATAGGACAATCCCCGTAGCTCTGGGACTAGTCTTGTTGCAAACCTTTGCACTTTCTCTAATTTCTTGACGTGCTTGACTAGGTGTGGATTCCAAACTGGTGCTGCATACTCCAGTATGGGCCTGACGTAGATGGTATACAGAGTCTTAAACGAATCCTTACTGAGGTATCGGAACGCTATCCGTAGGTTTGCCAGGCGCCCGTATGCTGCAGCAGTTATCTGATTGATGTGCGCCTCAGGAGATATGTTCGGTGTTATACTCACCCCCAGATCTTTTTCCTTGAGTGAGGTTTGCAGTCTTTGGCCATCTAAACTATATTGTGTGTGCGGTCTTCTTTGCCCTTCCCCAATCTTCATGACTTTGCATTTGGCAGGGTTAAATTCAAGGAGCCAGTTGCTGGACCAGGCTTGTAGCCTGTCCAGGTCTCTTTGTAGTCCTGCCTGATCCTCATCCGATTTGATTCTTCTCATTAACTTCACCTCATCTGCAAACAAGGACACTTCTGAGTCTATCCCTTCCGTTATGTCGTTCACGTATACCAAGAACAGCACAGGTCCTAGGACTGACCCCTGTGGAACCCCGCTTGTGTGTGTGTGTGTGTGTGTGTGTGTGTGTGTGTGTGTGTGTGTGTGTGTGTGTGTGTGTGTGTGTGTGTGTGTGTGTGTGTGTGTGCGTGCGCGCGTGCGTGCACAGAGGTGCATTTCTCTCAGTGTATATATGCTGAATGTTCATTTTAAACCCTATTTTAGAGACTGAAGTATTTTTGATAGACGGTGAAAGTGTTGCGTCACTTGCGTGCCCCCTAAATGATCATTTAACCAACAGAGTTGTTTCTAATTAAAATTTTATAACAGTCCCATTCCCTCTACTTAAGCAGACTGCAGAGAATGATAAATTGAGAGTGAGAGAGAGAGAGAGAGAGAAACATCAAAGACTTACCTCAATGATGGTCTGGCCAAGGAAGTCATCGCTCTCTCTGGTGAGTTTCTGTCGTAGTTTAGACTTGATGTCGTTGTCTTCGTCCCACACTCGTACCTTGATTCTGTCGCTGGAGTTGTGGCACTCACTGCAACCACACCATCAGGTTAGTCATGTATGGCCAGCCTCTCATACAACCACACCACAAGCTTACTTATTCAACCGCACCAGACCGGTTAATCATAAATAACCATCCATTCTGACAACCACACCACCAGGCTAGCCATGCATGATCGGAAGTCCTGAAGAACAGAACCTGAGAACCCTGAAAGTCTGAAGGACTATGGAATGCAAGTAGTTGCGACGTGAGGCCTCGTCTGAAATACGAGCTAAGGACTCACCACAAAATCAATTACGTACTCTGATTTTTGCGAAATCGCATACACCAATTTTCGCTTGCCTTATTCGGCAAGAAAAGCTTTGTTATTTAAGTCAAAATAGCAAGTTTTACCTATTCGGCACTATATATATATATATATATATATATATATATATATATATATATATATATATAATATATATATATATATATATATATATATATATATATATATATATATATATATATATATATATATATTATAAAATTTTTAACAAACCGGCCGCATCCCACCAAAGCAGGGTGTCCCTGTTTTCTTTTTACATTTAGTAATTTATACAGGAGAAGGGGTTACTAGCCCCTTGCTCAGGTCACTTGATTCAGGTCACATGCTGGTCAACCAGTCATGCAACATGTCACATTCCTTAGTTCATCAACATTCCACACTCCTTGTGTCTCCAGTAAGCTGGCTACCCTGGGGTATTAATCCCGCTGGGTTGTTAACCCTGAGTGACGATGGAAAGCCAAGCCAAGTTGTACTGCCTTCCACCGAGGTTCTTCCCAAAGATGCGACTCACAACACCCAATTAACGCTATTATACACTTGTTTAATGCTGGAAGAACGTGACCAGCAGATGTACTGCTTGCTCATGTGTCTCGACTCACCCGGGAATCGAAACCGGGCCTCTTCGATGGGTTGTGAGTCGATGATATAGTGATATCCCCCTCGTTTAAGACAAAGAAATTCCAGAGACAAATTAGGAAATGGGGAGAGACTACGCTAAAAAAAAGGACAAGATATGTAACAGAAGAAACACTATTTTGATCAATTAGACACATGACCAACACTTGGGCACCTTTACCTGGAGTTTACCTGGAGAGAGTTCCGGGGGTCAACGCCCCCGCGGCCCGGTCTGTGACCAGGCCTCTTTGTGGAAACGTTTCGCCACACAGTGGCTTCATCAGTCCAATACAAAAAAGAATGGTGAAGATCAGAAGTCTGAGGTAATCAGTCCCTGGAGTCAATGTAATTAGTCCATCAGTCTTCCAAAGATTGATAGAATGATTACCCCAAACTCCTTCTGATCTTCACCATTTTTCTTTGCATTGGACTGATGAAACCACTGTATGGCGAAACCTTTCCACAAAAAAGATACCCAAGTGTTGCTCGTGTGTCTAATTTATCAACGTGTCGGTCCTCTGAACCATTTATCAACGATAATGCATGTACCCAGATAAACAATGAATTATACTCACAAGTAGAACTTTTCGTTCCAGACTGGGTTAAGTTCCTGAGGGACGGTGTGGGTTCTCTTCTTAACCTTGCCCACCTGGACGGTAACGTAAGGGTCAGAGGTACCACTCTTGTCCTTGGCGATGAGACCCTGAGCGCAGATCACTGTAGAAGGAACAGGTTGTGGGGGGTCACACCGGAAACGTTTCTTACACAGAAAATGGGTTTTACCAACATCTCTGATACTCAACTGGATTTAACAGCCTTTAGAGGGTGTTTTGTCTCTAATCTTGGATTCTGAACTAGATTTAATACCTCTGAAGGTGTTCTATCTTTTATAGTTGCTCTTGAAATGTATTTAATGTTTTAGAAGGTGTTGTCTTTACATAACTGATTATGCACTGGATTTAAAAGTTCTGGAGGGTGTCCAAGTGAATCTCAAATCACGAAAGCAATAACATTTCTCATGATATAGAGGTTATATAATTTTTATGTTCATTCACTGGTGTGGAAAGTGAGGTGAGAAAGGTATTACCATGCCAACCACTCTTACTGGGCCAAGAGAAGCAACTCGGGAGTGGAGCATCACTGCTGGTGGTGTGTCAATACTATACAGCACCATATTATAAAGCATGTCCTGTGGTAGCACCTCACCACACTTCACCAATGGTGTCAACTTACAACTTAAGTTCCCCGAATAACCCTGATAGAAGAGTGAACCTGTGTTTGACAACATTTCCTTCAGTTTCTTCAAGTCACACAGAGGCACTTGCCAACCTGCATGACTTGAAAATGATCACCTCCTGAGCTAAACGTTGTCCAATGAAGGCTTCCTCTGCTGTGTCAATGTATAAGTTAACCTGTCGACATTTTCCCTTCCCACAGTTCTGTCGAGAACTCAAAAAGCAGAAAAGGTCTTGTGTGACAAGCTGCATACATTGGCGTCATGTGGTAGGCACACAACATTACTTTACTAATATGGGCGTATCTGAGAAAGGAATTATGCGGACAACTGTATACTGGTATGTACAAGATCGTGGGAAAAACATGAAATAAACAGGTGTAGGATGTCTCTCGTTCCCTTTATTATATTATTGTTTTTTGAAAATCCAGGACCTTACGACTAAGTGTAAGTCTCAAGGAAGAGAGGAGGGAGGGGAGGAGGGGGGGGGGTGAAAGGGACAGCTCGGGGGGCAAGAAGAAGTTATGTTAAGTGGTGTGTTTTTTCCCCCGGGAAGGCTGGCAATCTGGAGTCATCGTGTGTGTGCATCACCCTTACGGATGGCCAAACAGTCCTCTCGGTCGGTCTCTCTTTCTCTCTCTCTGGTTTTACAAATCTGGAGAAGGGAAGTTAATACAAGCAGCTGCTGGAGGGGTGGGGAGGGGAGGAATACTAGGGATGGAGGGGGTCCACTGGGGGGGGGGTAGGCTCTCTGGGCAATGATTAAAAGGTCGTGAGTGGCATTGAGTAAAATAGCCGATAAGGTCCTGGTGACGTGATGGGAAAATTGTGCAGAAAAACGCTGTGATGGGGGGGGGGGGAGGTGTCCTGCCGCCGCCCAAACACCCCAACCAACCCCACCCACACCCTCAACCCCACCCCACACCCTCAACTCATCCCACATACACAGCTCTGAGTGTCACTATAACTGGACAAAGTTTCTGTCCACTATACGACCATTCTGGACCATTATTAAGTCGCGAGTGATGGTCCAGGATGGATCGAAACGTCGTCTGAATTTCCTTTCCAGTTTGAAGGCTAGCTGGAAAGAACGGTTCCAATATGTTATCGACGGTATTGAACCAAAGACACTAGTTCCACATACAAACTTCATTGAGACGACGATGAGCTCTGAGAAGAGCTTTATCAAATCGTGCCTGAGAAAGCTCCAACGGAGCGAAACGTTGTCCTCACAACAAGCTTTTATAACGCTTCTTTCCGTCAATAATACCAATGATAAATATACACTTACTAAATTACATTTATAGCAATATTCTTATCACTTTTTTAAATTCACTTAATCTATTGTCAAACTTTTTTTGTCCATTATTTATTTTGCCAACTGGCTTAAATAATTGAATCTTTCCTCTTCTTCCCATTAAATAACTAAACGGTTATAACTGACCATAATTTTTAAATGGGTGGACCGGTTAGCCGGCGGAAGGCAAGACCCGCGTCAGGAAACACTTATCCCGTTTCCTGACGAACCTTACCTAACCTTCCCATTAAATAAACAGAAAGCCTATCTCATTTTTTTTTGCGTGTGCAATTTTTCAAGCAAATCCTCTTGTTACTTCCCGTAAATAGTATAAAATACCGTGGTAAAAAATAGCATGGTCTGGAACGATATCTTTCCAGACCATGGAACTGAACTCTTCTCTAAGCTGAGGGACTGACCACTTCAAATACTTTTTCTCCCAAGTTGGTGGACTGATTACATCATTGTTGCATTACTACTTCTCCCTTTGCATTTGACTGAAGAAGCCTACTGTGTAGGCGAAACGTTTCATCAATAAAGATAACCAACTGTTATACATGTGTCTTAACCTTCATGTCTCCCTTTTGTTACTCCATGCGAGTGGGTGGACGAGTTGCACGGGGCGGGGTATCGGCTGGATGTGTGACGGGTGTGGGGGTTGGATATAGGGTGGGAGTGGGCGGAGTATGGGCGGCGGGCTGTGATCCCTCATCGTTAACCTTGTGCACATCATCATACAGTAAATAAGAGTGTTCAAATCTCATGCAATTCTTACTTCCGTGGTCTAGATAATAGATGAAATTGGTCTACTAACTAACTTATTCCATCCTAGATCCTCACACGAGGTTGTTCCTTCCTAGAGTGCCGAGTAATGTTTTTATTTCTAATAACGCTACTGGAGCACCTTTCTCAAACTGGCTCCAATTTAAGTTTAAATATATATACACAAGGTGGTTATCGATGCGCTTCTAAGAAGATTTCTTCCATAGGTGGAAATTTCAACGTCTGTGAATGGGTGATTCAGTGGAACTTTAGCCAATCATATGGTTCCCTGTTACGTGTGTCACACAGAGTAATCAGTATTTATGTCATGAACACTGACAGGTGAACACGTCAAGTTTACAATGACGGAGAGTCAAACATAGGGTAGAAAGGATCTATATATTTCCGACACAATCAGAGACCCTCGTCATCAATAGATCCGTGAGTCCAAAACGTGCAGATTCTTCCTACTCCGTATTTAAGTTTCCGTCCATGTGGGATTTACCGTGTTCCCGTCACACATCAGCTGATGACAAATCCATCTACGGCAGAATCCATCGGTCAAAAACGTCGTGTTATTAACTGCACACTACTAGTCATAATGCTTAAGTTTACGGGAATTTCCCTCAAAGGCATCGCCGTCATGGGTGCAAGATGAAACTGTTGGGTGACACTTTGACAGGAGGCCCTTGAATGTGAAGATGAGGCCAGTTGGCTTCTCTAGTGTGTCTACAAAGGCACACTAGCAGCAGCTGCAGCTTAAGAGGCTTAAGCCACCCATCTCCACAACCTACAATGGTACACTACGGCATCTAATTTAACTCCTGGATTAGTTTACTTTCAACAATATCTCCTAATTTTCTAGTATTATATGCTCTAGCAAGCTAGGATGGCTATCTATTATCCAGACCGGTATACTTGTACCATTACAGTTCTTCTTCATGAAGTTAACATGCTCCCATGCTCAAATATGCTAGTAACAAGCCAATCATTTAGCCATTATTATTATTAGCAAAAACGCATTATTTTTAAATTTACTTTGCTTTAATTTGCCCCTTCAAAAAAAAAAAAAAAAATTGCCGGTTTTAAAAAATTATGGCAAAATTCTTGAAAATGTTTTAGCTGATCCATTTTATTTATCTTTTCAAAAAAGTTTAGTCGTACCAAAAATATATATATATAAAAATATAATCGAGGTTTAGGGGAACGCTGTACGACTTCAAACATATTTTGGGGATGTTTTAGAATCAGGCAAGTTAACTTCATGTTAAATTAACAGGCGGGCAAAACTGCCATCAAGAAGCCGCCCCACGCAGGATCATCCCGGTAAGGTAAGGCATAACCATTATAAACTAAAGGTGTTTATGCACCTGCATGTCATACCCTGCCTCACTGATCCTCTCTCACGGGGCATTCATGGGGCCAGCACACAGGGCGGCCGGGAAGGCAGGGGAAGGGGGACAATGCTCTGTACATTTATAAAGTCGCTTGGAGGCACACTGGGTAATAAGGTTGAAGGCTTTTACGAAACAATCTCGTTGTTGTCGAGATGGGAAGGAGCTACGGTTGTGCTTCGTAGGATATTGCTGTCCTCTAGTGTACATCTAAATCACTTTAGCATCTGCTATAAATATGATTTAATGTAAGCTGAGGCCACGTTCAATATGCTTTAGTAACTGAGGGAAGGACGAGGGTTATCATGTTACAGCGACTTACTGTCAATGAACAAAGAAGACACGAGATACAGAGCAAATTCTTACTATGACAACGTTTGACTGTGTAGAGCTTTATAATAAAAACAATAATATAAAAGATAAAAACTTTACTTAAGAGCGTAATTCTGAGACAAATGCTTGCCCTGTGTCTGTGTGTGTTTTCTCGAAAATTTCATTGTCAGTCCGGGATCTAGCAAAGGGTCGAAAGCATCAATAATCAGTTAGTCAAATTATATAATTCCTGTGCTAGCAGCGAGGGACGACCCCAATGAATCACAGAGTCAGTGAGAATCAACAGGATCAGTTCAGGCAGGTGACACTCAGGGCGGGCAGGTGGAGAAGAAGAATCAAAATAAGTTAGAACAAATCGAGTCAGTCGGATGCTACTATATATATGTATATATATAAGTGCTGCCGCCTGGTGGACAGTCGGATCTACTAGAGGTGCTGCCGCCTGGGTAGACAGTAAAGTAAGTGGTAGTAAAGACTGTCTGCCGCTATGGCGGAGTAGTTGCACTGGGTGGGTGGGTACAGGGAGTATGGAAGTAGGTGGAGGAGCCAGAGAGCATAAAAAAATACAGAAGCCGCAAGATGGTGGAGCACACACGTTAGGGTGGAGGACACCCTCGCCACTCTCCATACTTCCATCCTCCATGCTATGTACATGTTTTGCCTGACCTGTAGTTGCAATCTTGCAAGACCAATGGGAGGTCCCTTCTAATACGTTATCCTCTGCTTTCTCAAGTGAATCTATATGGGTATCGGGATCCACCTTGAATGTCATCCTGTGGAAGAAGCACATTCAACATGGGTTAACAACAACGATGGCACAACATCACTTGACACGAAACTGAACAAAAAAAGACAACAAAGGAATGGTAAAACAAGGACACCAACAAAAATAAGCGTCTCCGTCCACGGCTGCTTGCGACGACCAGGTCCCTGTGAAGACTCGCCACCAGGAAGTCATTCAACAACTAAGCTGCAACAGTTGTAGTTTCTAACTAGAATAAATGCCTTGAATGGTATTTCATACTTACAAATAATCTTGCAAAGCGATGACTCTAAGATGAAAAAAAAAAGATAAAAAACTCTTAGAGTTGGATGACTTCTCGTGCTGCTGAACAAACACGTCAATTCTATGAAGACAAACAGAAAAATATATTAGGCTATTTAATTATTCCATTTTTTTCAGCGAGTCTACGATTTTATCCATCAAGATACAGACATAGCAGGACTAAGATATGATGGCATTCATGCTAATTTAATATTCTCGGGAAAAACCTTGTTTTTAAATTTTAATAATAAAAAATTACCAGTTTTTCTTCTGAGACACATGTTTGATTAATAGTCTTATGAACCGAAAGAAAATTCACAGCCAAACACACTTCAGTTTGTCTTCACACTTGCGTGGTGTAACACCTCCACGCATGACTGACACAAGACAAGTCATAACAATGAAGACGAAAGGGAGGCAAGGAAAAGGCAGGGAGAGAAATAAAGAATAATACAGGCATTCGGAGAAAAAGCAGCAAGAAAATGGGAGGAAGGGGGGGGGGGTTGTCAGACTGGAACAAACCTGTGATGGCAATCTTAGCTGACCACTTGCTAGTTCCGTCAAGCACTGACTGGTTCACAGACATCATGTGGCCTACGTGGCTCTTGTCCTCCACGCCAAAGACATCCCTATTTATTGAAGAAATAAAGTTCATCTCTGCCTGCTGGGGAAAAAGAGGCTTAGGCCCATCACATCTACTGTAAGACGATGCCCGGGCATTATTAAATATCGACGAACTGGGCACTTTTAAATTATATTGGGCACTGAAAGAGAATCTGAATGCACAATGGTGAATCCAATACTTAATAAATCACATGTCTGAAAAGGGAACAACCGCATGTCAGACTAATGTAAACAGCTGATCTAGAGTTTTCCAAATCAAACTTCACAAAAGTGTAACTAAAGAATGAAAGTGAAAATTGTTTTAGGTATTTATTTGCATGCTTATGCATCTACTAATAACTTATATGATCTAATATATTTATATATATTCTCTACTTTCTTAAAAGAAAATTTGATTTTAGTTTAGTTGTAATTTACAAATCTAAGATATATTGTACTAGTGACGTACGTAATTAAATTTTGTTTATAAGTTATTGTTTAAAGGCCTAAGCATCACTCAAACAAAAATATATACTGCACACCATGGGTGTATATTTGTGTATATACACTGATAGTTTATTTAAATCTATGTGTTAATGATTAAAGGCACTTTAAACATGCTTTTGATGTTAGTAAAAGTGAAATACTTTAATGACCCACATACAAATTTGCAAACTAAAATCACACTAGAATAGGTTGCATACACTAGGCGTTTATCTCAGTGTATATACACTGAGTGATTTAAATCATATCTTAGGGATTTACAGTATCCTTGATTTTAGGGCCTTAATAACTTACGTAGTAGAAAGGCCTTAAATCAAATCAACTAACAAGACATCACAATCCAGAGTCTTTCGAATTTTAATTATTTAAGAATGTAGCAGTTTCTAACTTAAAAATTTATACAAGAACGTTATTTAATCACAATTTATGCATTGGTCAAGGAAATCTACCCACGGCTAAGCTACACTTACCACAATTGAAAGTGCTAATAAGTCTATCCCAGGCTACGCTACACTTACCACCTCAGAAAGTGCTAATAACAAGTCTATCCCCAACTAGGCTACAGTTACCACCTCTAAAGTGCTAATAACATGTACCACCTCTGAAAGTGCTAATAACAATTCTAATCTCTGGCTCAGCTACACTTACAGCTACTGATATGTACTAATAAGTTAACCCCCCCTCCGGCTAGGCTAGACTTAAAAAAATACCATTTGGTAATAAAGTCTAATAAATATTCCTTTAATTAATACAAATCAATACTAGTTAAATTATCATCAGCCACACTGACACATTAAATCTTCATGATAATTCCTTGTTACTAACTCCTTTAATTAAACTTTAAATAATGAATACAACCATATGCCAATATACTTTCAAAATAGTTTGCAATACATTTGATAAATGAAATTTTTGGTACAATACTCATACACAGAGAGTGGAATTGACGTTATGATTTGTAGGAATATTAAAAATGATCATTATATGCAATAAAAGTTGGTAGTTTAACGAACAGGGGTCATTAGGAACGGAGAAACTCACTCAGTGACAGAAAAATGGAAGAGGGAAGGCTGTACATTTCGACCTCTGAGGTCCTCTTCAGCAGATGTACTAAATAGGATTTTTTTTAAAGGTCGAAATATGCAGTGTCCCCTCTTCGGTTTTTGTTCCATTTTAAGTCTCCAAGTGGACTTTTTTACTGAAATTAACCAAAGACTACTGCTATATCTATAATTCAGCAAAAAATCTTTCTTACTATAGTGGTTGCCAACACACATACATACCTACGTAGCGTTAATAATACTCAAAAATAATAAAAATTCAAATTACCATTGCTGTTCTTGTTTCTCACCATAATGTATGTGATGGTGTATACGGACATACACTGCATATATACCATTAATATGAAGAAGGAGTATATTCCTGCGATAATCAGTGATAACACTGCCTGAAAGGTATCACCACTGTGATAACCATTCAGTTTAACCCATCACCACTGCCACAACCACTCGGTCTAAACCATCACCACTGCCACAACCACTCGGTCTAAACCATCACCTCAGCCACAACCACTCAGTCTAAACTACCACTGCGACAACCACTCAGTCAAAACCATTGCCACTGCCACAACCACTGCCTCAAATCCATCACCAATTCTCGCCCTCAAAAAAACAACACAAGGGTCCCCGGAAATTGAAGGAGAGGCCAGGACAATGACCGACAGTGAAGATCGCAAAGTTGAAATGCTTATAGACAGCGAGGGCAAAGCCGACCATTAGGACGGCACCACATAGTTTTGTTTACCTTGCGTCTCCTCAGCTGAAAGACTTTCAAACTCAACAGCGTCGTTGAAGGGAGTTGACAGCACCGCTGAAGGGGGAGGGAGGGAGGGAGGTTCTCAACTTGTTACTTGCTTCACACAGTTTGAAGGGGATCAAGTTGAGATGGACTTCAGTGGAGTTGGATTCTCCACTGCACCACAATGTTCTCGGTTTAATTTATACACGACTGTTATATCTCCGAGTTTTTTTTTTTTTTGTCAAAACTTTTGAATAGTAATAATAATAACAATAACGAGCAAGCCAAAAACTCCATAAATGTATGCCAGATTTCCTACAATACCCTAACTCCGATAGATTTCGAAAAAGCCATTGACAATATGCCCATGCACTCAGCCCCAGGCCCAGACTCATGGAACTCCGTTTTCATTAAGAACTGCAAGAAACCCCTTTCGCGTGCCCTAAGTACAATATGGAGGAGGAGCTTGGACATGTGTGAAATTCCAGTCACTTAAAACAACGGATATAGTCCCACTCCATAAAGGTGGCAGTAAAGCATTAGCTAAGAACTATAGACCAATAGCTCTGACGTCCCACATCAAAAAAATCTTTGAAAGAGTGCTAAGAAGCAGGATTGCAAATCACCTGTATTACCAAAATCTGCACAATCCAGGGCAACATGGGTTCAGGGCAGGTCGCTCCTGCCTCTCACAACTACTGGATCACTATGATATGGCCTTGGATGCACTGGAAGAAAATCATAATGCAGATGTAATATACACAGACTTTGCAAAAGCATTTGACAAATGCGATCATGGCGTAATAGCCCATAAAATACGTGCTAAAGGAATAACTGGGAAAGTGGGGAGAGGGATCTTCAACTTCCTAACAAATCGAACACAAAGAGTAGTGGCCAACAGAGTTAAATCAGAGGCTGCCATAGTGAAGAGCTCTGTTCCACAAAGCACAGTACTCGCCCCCATCTTATTCCTCATCCTCATATCAGACATAGACAGAGATATACATCACAGCACCGTATCATCCTTTGCGGATGATACTAGGATCTGCATGAGGCTGTCATCTGCTGAGGACGCGGTTAACCTCCAAGAAGATATAAACAAAGTTTTCCAGTGGGCAACGGAAAACAAAGTGATGTTCAATGAGGACAAATTCCAACTACTCCGTTATGGAAAACGGGAGAATATAATAACTAGAACAGATTATACTACTGACTCCGGCCATACAATAGAGCGGAAAAATAATGTAAGGGACCTGGGAGTAGTAATGTCTGAGGATCTCACTTTCAAGGATCACAACAGTGCCACGATCGCACGTGCAAAGAAAATGATAGGATGGATAATGAGAACGTTCCAAACGAGAGATGCCAAGCCAATGACGATCCTTTTCAAATCACTTGTTCTCTCTAGGCTGGAATACTGCTGTACATTAACATCTCCATTCAAAGCAGGTGAAATCGCAGATCTAGAGAGTGTACAGAGATCCTTTACTGCACGTATAAGTTCTGTCAAGCACCTTAACTACTGGGAACGCTTGGAAGCACTTGACTTGTACTCGTTGGAACACAGGAGAGAGAGATATATCATAATATACACTTGGAAAATCCTGGAAGGAATGGTCCCAAATCTGCACACAGAAATCACTCCCTAGAAAAATGACAGGATGGATAATGAGAACCTTCAAAACTAGGGAGGCCAAGCCCATGATGACACTCTTCAGGTCACTTGTTCTATCTAGGCTGGAATATTGCTGCACACTAACAGCACCTTTCAAGGCAGGTGAAATTGCCGACCTAGAAAATGTACAGAGAACTTTCACGGCGCGCATAACGGAGATAAAACACCTCAATTATTGGGAGCGCTTGAGGTTCCTAAACCTGTATTCCCTGGAACGCAGGAGGGAGAGATACATGATTATATACACCTGGAAAATCCTAGAGGGACTAGTACCGAACTTGCACACGAAAATCACCCACTACGAAAGCAAAAGACTTGGCAGACGATGCACCATCCCCCCAATGAAAAGCAGGGGTGTCACTAGCACGTTAAGAGACCATACAATAAGTGTCAGGGGCCCGAGACTGTTCAACTGCCTCCCAGCACACATAAGGGGGATTACCAACAGACCCCTGGCAGTCTTCAAGCTGGCACTGGACAAGCACCTAAAGTCAGTTCCGGATCAGCCGGGCTGTGGCTCGTATGTTGGTTTGCGTGCAGCCAGCAGCAACAGCCTGGTTGATCAGGCTCTGATCCACCAGGAGGCCTGGTCTCAGACCGGGCCGCGGGGGCGTTGACCCCCGGAACTCTCTCCAGGTAAACTCCTACAAAAGTAAAAGACTGGGCAGGCGATGCAAAATGCCCCCAATTAAAAGTAGGGGCGCCATTGGTACAATAAGGGAAAACACCATAAGTGTCCGGGGCCCAAGACTGTTCAACAGCCTCCCATCAAACATTCGGGGAATTACCAATAAACCCCTGGCTGCCTTCAAGAGAGAGCTGGGCAGATACCTAAAGTCAGTGCCGGATCAGCCGGGCAGTGGCTCGTACGTTGGACTGCGTGCGGCCAGCAGTAACAGCCTAGTTGATCAGGCCCTGATCCATCGGGAGGCCTGGTCATGGACCGGGCCGCGGGGACGTTGATCCCCGGAATAACCTCCAGGTAAGGTCTCGAACAAGTGACCAGATCTCATACATATATATATATATATATATATATATATATATATATATATATATATTATATATGTATGCAAACAATCGCAGACGGGCGATCTTAACTATGCAGGATAAGCCACGGATGGGGGGGGAAATCTTTAGCTCAAGTACTTTCACACTTCCCAGTGCGTCATCAGGAGCTGTGCAATGTTGCAAGGTAGCAACCAAAGCAGGGAGAGAGGTCTCAGAGTAGCGTAGGTGTCACCGGCCACGGTTACCCTTAGACTGAGTCTAAGGGTAACCGTGGCCGGTGACACCTACGCTACTCTAAGACCTCCCTGCTTTGGTTGCTCCCTTGCACAGCTCCTGATGACGCACTGAGAAGTGTGAAAGTACTTGAGCTAAAGATTTTCACCCCCCCTGTGGCTTATCCTGCATATATATATATATATATATATATATATATATATATATATATATATATATATATATATATATATATATATATATATATATATATATATATGCAGAACAACCAATGTGAAAAAATAGTGAAATTCTAAGCGCTTTCGTGGTTTCACATTATCAGGAAACTGATAATGATAACTGATATATATATATATATATATATATATATATATATATATATATATATATATATATATATATATATATGTATATATATATTTCTAAACGTTCATTCTCTTACGCAGTCTCCAGCGTCAATCTGTGAACGCTCTCTACAAAAACTTACGCACATTTAACGACCAATAAACAAGTGAAAAATGGCGTGAAAGGCGTGTCAGTGAACCCGGGCAACGGCATAATCTTCAGGCACAACGCGTCAAGGTGCCCAGAACCAGTTGAATATTGATAATATTTTGTAACTAATATCATAGGCGATTACATGACGCGATTACTTCACTCTGCGCAGATTATGTAATCAAGGTAAATACTGTATTGATATTCCTGCGCCTCCCACCGTCTGCTTAAATATTAATATTTCAAACTGGTTAACAAGTTAATTAAGAGACTAGTCCCAGGAGCTTCTCAAGTGATTACTATGTGGGAGGAGGAGGAGGAGGAGGAGGAGGAGGAGGAGGAGGAGGAGGAGGAGGAGGAGGAGGAGGAGGAGGAGGAGGAGGAGGAGGAGGAGGAGGAGGAGGAGGAGGAAGAGGAGGATGAGGAAGAGGAGGAGGAGGAGGAGGAGGAGGAGGAGGAGGAGGAGGAAGAGGAGAAGAGGAGGAGGAGGAGGAAGAGGAGGAGGAGGAGGAGGAGGAGGAGGAGGAGGAGGAGGAGGAAGAGGAAGGAATTAATATGTGGGATGGAAGAAGGAGGGAGGATGATAGACTGATTATATCGTCTTTACATCTCTCTACTGCTTCTGCTGCCCCCTCTGTACTTGACTGAAGAAGCCTACTGTGTAGGCGAAACGTTTCGGAATAAAGATACCTAACTATTGCACGTGTGTCTTACTTATCAACTTGTCGCATTATCAGATTCAGGAGGAAGAAGATAATTAATGAATGAAAGGGTTTAGTAAGAGGTAGGAAGACGAGGAATGGAGGAATAGTGAAGAAACAAAGGAAAAATATTAAATAAAGGCGAGAAAGGGAGAAGAGGAAGAAAAAAAGGATAAAGGAAAATAGGGAAGCTGATAAGAGGGACTATATATAATATATATATATATATATAATATATATATATATATATATATATATATATATATATATATATATATATATATATATATATATATATATATATATATATATGTGTGTGTGTGTGTGTGTGTGTGTGTGTGTGTGTGTGTGTGTGTCGTGCCGAATAGGTAAGACTTGCGATTTTGGATTAAATAGCAACGCTCTTGCCGAATAAGACAAGCGAAAATTTGTGTATGCAATAATTTGGCAAAAATCATTCTGAACTTAACGAAAAAAATATATATCATTGCGTTTGTTTATTATTAAATTACTGTAAACTTATCTAAAATATATTTAGATGGACTAGGCTAAATTAAATTGCGCTTGTTATAATAAGGTTAGGTAAGTTTTCTAAGGTTCTTTTGGAACAAAATTATGAATTTTTACATTAACATAAATGAAAAAATATATCTTTAAATGTATAAGAGAAAATTTTAGAAAGGACTTAATTTTAAGTGAGTTCTTGCTAACTGACCAATTTTACCTATTCGGCAAGACATTATATATATATATATATATATATATATATATATATATATATATATATATATATATATATATATATATATATATATATGCGTGTTGTAGGAGGCAACTAAAATGCCGGGAGCAAGAGGCTAGTAACCCCTTCTCCTGTATATATTACTAAATGTAAAAGGAGAAACTTTCGTTTTTTCTTTTGGGCCACCCCGCCTCGGTGGGGTACGGCCAGTGTGTTGAAAGAAGGAAAGAAAGATAATATATATATATATATATATATATATATATATATATATATACATATATATATACATATATATATATAATATATATATATATATATATATATATATATATATATATATATATACATACATATATATATATATATATATATATATATATATATATATATATATATATATATATATATATATATATATATATATATTTTATCACACTGGCCGATTCCCACCAAGGCAGGGTGGCCCGAAAAAGAAAAACTTTCACCATCATTCACTCCATCACTGTCTTGCCAGAAGGGTGCTTTACACTACAGTTTATATATATATATATATATATATATATATATATATAATATATAGCTATTCTATGGTAAACGATATTGTACTACATAGCTCGTTGAACTGAATATTGCCAGCAGATGAGTAATAATAATAATAATAATAATAACAGTAATAATAATAATAATGAGACAAAAGTGATAATGTCAAGAAAGCACACAGGCGCACCGAGAAGAAAAGAAACAGGTGAGGTCCAGGAAGCGCTACACGTGGTCATGGACAGGCTTTCCGCAGGTCTGGTCTGACAAGTGACCACTAAAACCTAAGGGGCACGTCAGTTCCCCTGTCTTCTAACATATTATTTTTCCACTATAATCTACATAGCCCGTAATTACTATCGCATTTGCTTTGTCTGCTTTCCAGGATCTTTCCTTAATTCATGGTATAACTTAACAAATCTTTGAGGTTAATTGTGCTGTAGAGGTCTGAGTTGTGCTCAAACCTCTACAGTGGACAAGGTAAATTATAGTGCAAAAAATGAACATATTAGAAGGCGTGGACACTTACGTGCCTCTTAAGAGTTCACTGATTACTTTTCACTTGCCCTAATTTGTCGCGTGTTTCTTTTTTTTTTTTAAATTGAAGAGCAAATAAAAGCACCACATCTTATTATTTGTTTCTGGGTGAACGGGAAAGTCATTCTAAGATCTCAATCATATTATCCAGACCTCCTTAAACCTTTACCTTATCCAATCTCTCACTTAACCCGATTTAAGAGGTTTCAACTTTCTCGTCACAATTATATTATCACCAACATCTAAAGACAAAACATAAAAAAAAAACTTTTCCGAAACAATCCTACGAAACTCGTAAATTTAACGATAAAAAAAATGTGAAAACTCAAAATTTAAACGAGTTAAAAGTCAAATTTTTGTCTCGTAATCTTTCCATACTGCGAGAAGGTCATATTATATCGTGTAAAGATCTTTAAATGAGTTGGATCTTACTATATATTAAAATATTAATGTATTAAAGAGCGTGACGCAAAATAATGAAATGGTTACAAATCAAAACTCACGAAATATTGGCGAGAAAAAAAGGAAAGAAAGAATCGACGAAACAAACAATTTTTTTAAATTAATGAAACAACGAAAACAACTTAACAACAGTAAAAGAAACAACATCCAACACGAAAACAAAAGACAGGAAAATAAGCGATATCAGGTAATACAACAACAGCATAAACCAGAGTAACAAAAGAACATTTTGTTTACCTCTCAACCATCAACTATCATCAGCAAAACGGTCAAAACAAAATAAATAACAACGTGCATAAAATTGAACTGGCACTTCCGGGTGCGCGGTCAAATATTGCCACCTACCAATTACTGTGAGTCCGTTGATGATATCAAATTAAATCACACGTGTTTTGGATCCCCGTGTCAGCAATGCCAGACCTCGCCAACCCAAGTTTATTTAACAAATAATATAAATACACCCGTCCTACGGTGGGTGGGACGGGTCGTGTGTCGGGTCATGAGGTGAAATCTCACCCTCCTAACCTTCCTCTTTTTCTGTTTTTTTTTTTACTATTCCTTGATAATGTGAGAAATCACGAAAGCACCTGGAATTTCAATATTTTTTCACTGGTTGTTTTGTGTATTATGATATCGCATGCTTAATGTAATCATATATATATATATATATATATATATATATATATATATATATATATATATATATATAAAATGTGTGTTGCAACCTCTATGTTTATCTACTGCATAACTTTCTTTCATTATCAAAATTTAAGGACAAAAACAGCTAAACCTTATTAAACAAACATTTACCTTGCAATAAGTGCGATAATCCCCCAGTGAGACCACTGTAGGGACGACTCAACCGCAGCCTTCAACAACACTTAAAATTTAAAGACTTAATTACGCGCCGCACTCTGTTGCCCCCGAAATCAAAACAAATGGGGGCGAGAGGGCGGCGAATAAGGGCGAGAGTCCCCATGCGCCGCCACGCTCGCACCTACCTAATAAGTTCGAAGATCTCGGGCGTCTCTAGTTCCCTCTTCTTCATCCTCTCCTTCATGGCGGCGATGATGTTATTGGTCTTGTCTTCAGCTCCGTGTTTACTGCTCTTCTCGGCCGCTCCTGTAACACGTTACCTTCACAGTTTGTTAGGTACTGAAGGTTGTGTGGTTCAGAGTTTGTTAGGTACTGAAGGTTGTGTGGTTCAGAGTTTGTTAGGTACTGACGGTTGTGTGGTTCAGAGTTTGTTAGGTACTGAAGGTTGTGTGGTTCAGAGTTTGATAGGTACTGAACGTTGTGTGGTTCAGTTTGTTAGGTACTGAACGTTGTGTGGTTCAGAGTTTGTTAGGTACTGAACGTTGTGTGGTTCAGAGTTTGTTAGGTACTGAACGTTGTGTGGTTCGAGTTTGTTAGGTACTGAACGTTGTGTGGTTCAGAGTTTGATAGGTACTGAAGGTTGTGTAGTTCAGAGTTTGTTAGGTACTGAAGGTTGTGTGGTTCAGAGTTTGTTAGGTACTGAAGGTTGTGTAGTTCAGAGTTTGTTAGGTACTGAAGGTTGAGTGGTTCAGAGTTAGTCTGCTAGGTCCAAGACTTATCTTCTGCAAGTGAGTTAAGGCCACAGTTTACATGTATACTAATATGTCTGAAACATTATTCCCTATAACAGGGATTAACGTAAACTCAGTGTTTATGTACACTGAGGTATACACTGACGTATATACATATCGAGGTAATATACTGAGAAAAATACACTGAAATATACACCTCTCAGTGTATTCAGCAAGATATATACCCTTCTTACTGTATATACACTGAGAGATACATTTCTAGGTCTATATACCATATATAAGGTGAGAGTTCTAGGAAGAAGCAGGTGTTCACCCTGACGAGGTAAATCACAGCAGTAGGCCTAAGTTTTAGGCTTGGGAGGACAGAGGAGTGGGGATGCACAAAGGAGAAGTAGAAATGTGTGGGCTTTATAAAGGGATTGGGGTGAGTGGGGTCTGTGTGGCGTGGGAAATGAGCAATTCAGATGGGAGTGGGAAGCTTAATTAATAGCTACAGATTGTATGGAGGCTGAGAGTTTCTGTGTAGCGGAGTTGCTACGGAGTGGAATACACCACACATACACACACACACACACACACACACACACACACACACACACACACACACACACACACACACACACACACACACACAGGCAAAGTTACAAGGCAGTGACTCAAGAAATACGTAAATCACACAACACAAGAAGTGACTTCACACTGAGAGCAACGAGCCAGGCTCCTGGATCAGTATTAGGACTGCTGCTGTTTTTAATACATGTAAATGACCTACTGTTTCATGGGGATGTAAAACTAACGATAGGGATAAAAAACAAAAAGGGAAGAGATAAACTCCAGCTAAAGATGTGGTCCAACAAGTGGTTTCCAGAGTTTAATTTAATCGTAGGAAATGTATTGGCAGACAAGGCACAGAGTACAGCAAGGGCTGAGCGTTTTCTCCATTTCCTTTATGACCAGCTGGGTGTCCTTGTAAGCCATCAGGTGTGCAGTCTGGTCTCTTATGTTGCGAGTCCTGCAGACATGCTGGTGTACTTGCAACCTGATGAGGAATTAGACACGTGTGCAACATATGAGTATCTTTATTTGTAGACGTTTTCGCCATCCAGTGGCTTTATCAGTACAAATTCAAGGACTTGAATTTGTACCTATTTCCTCATCTGATCTGTATAGTATGCCATTCATGCAAACATTTTCAACCTGACCTGCAGGCCACAAGTATCTCTTCCACGTATTTTCAGTCACAATCCCTACAAGGGATGATGTCAAGACCTGAGTAGTCGAGGTCCTTGCAGTTGTCTTTTAAGGGACACGTAAGTTCCCCCGTCTTCTAATGTTCATTTCTCTACTATAATCTACCTTGTCCATAATTACTACCTCATTTGCTTTGTCTGTTTCGTAAGGTGAAGTCCAGGATCTTTCCTTAAGTCAGGGTATAACTTAACAAATCTTTGATAACAGTTGTGTTGTAGAGGTCTGAGCAAAGTTTAGACCTCTACAACAGTACTATTACTACGCTGGTACTATTACTATCACTGCTACTGCTACTGTAACACTACTGTCACTTCTGCTAGTACTATTACTAATACTACGATTATTATTAATACGCTGCTGCTACCGTTATTACTCTCTTCGTATATTTCCATATTTCCTATAGCACATTCTTTACATAGTAGTTCAGTGCTTCTCCATGAATACTGCTACTACTACTACTATTAATAATAATAATAATAATAATAATAATAATAATAATAATAATAATAATAATAATAATAATAATAATAATAACGCAAACTGGGCGCATTGCCTGGAGAGGAATTACCAAGTCTAGCAGATTAGTGTTGTTGTGCTACCTGCCTTACCTCTGCTTCCAATTAATCGCGCACCTGTAGGGACTATGTATATGAAAGCGTAATTAAAAATATACATTACCTTGCTCTAATATACATAACAACCCTCCTCTCCCTCCTCCCCGCTTCCCAGCGTTACGGAATATGCAAATTGGATTTAATAACAAGTGCGGCTAAAACACCGGGGGTGTAAGCTATTCAATATTGGTAGGACGAACACACACACAAACAAACACACACACACACACACACACACACACACACACACACACACACACACACACACACACACACACACACACACACACACACACACACACACTACAACCAGGCTAGTAGTATTCAAATACCGTTTGAAACTCATTAGATAAGCTTCGATATTACTCCTACTGACTTTGGAGAACATAATAACTAACTTATCAGATACTAAGGAAGAGTCACTAAACCAGGCAGACTGATAGGTACTAAAAAAAAAAATGATTTATGTACTCTCTTAGTGTTGAAAAAGATGAAAAAAAAATGAACTAACATATCAAATACTAACAAAAGTAATAAACTGGGCAGATAGGTACTAGATAAAAGGTTTATGAACACTGTTGGTAAAGGAGAAACACAAGCCACAGGACTGAGTTTAATAAGGTTAAGTATACCGCCTGACTGGAGACGTGCAAACTATGAGTTCTGAAAGATCAAAGTAAAGTGTCGACAGCTTAGAGCTGGAAGCATCAACAACCATTACCTGACGATGAAGCTGGAAAGCGTTTTAAAAACCCTTAAACACTTTAAACCGCTTCAAAGAGTGTTTTATACACTTTAAAGACTGATACATTTTCATTTAAAGAACTCTAAACAGTTAGACCCCTTTATTTTTTTGGTAAACAAAGTTGAAACCTTTTAAAACTCTAAAAAAAGTTTAAAACTTTCCAAACAGTCCAAATAACTTATAAACACTTCAAACATTTTAAAACACTTGCAAACCTTTATAATACTTGACAGGTCAATAACTGATACAATCCCCTCAGTACAAGTATACTTATATACGTCGAAAGAAAAAAACCAGGGAATATGACTTACTAGAACGTACTCTCTCTCTCTCTCTGTACATATATATATATATATATATATATATATATATATATATATATTATATATATATATATATATATATATATATATATATATATAATATATATATTTCTTTTACCACGTCGGAAGTTTCCCACCGAGGCAGGGTGACCCAAAAAGAAAAAAACTTTCATCATTCAACACTTTCACCATCACTCATACATAATCACTGTCTCTGCAGAGGCGCTTATTTACGACAGTTTAGATGTCCCTCCAAACTACCAATATCCCAAACCTCTCCTTTAAAGTGCTGGCATTGTACTTCCTATTTCCAGGACTCAAGTCCAGCTAACCGGTTTCCCTAAATCCCTTCACAAAATATTATCCTGCTCACACTCCAACAGCTCATCAGGTCCCAAAAACCATTCGTTTCCATTCACTCCTAACAAGCTCACGCACGCTTGCTGGAAATCCAAGCTCCTAACCCACAAAACTTCCTTTACCCCCTCCCTTCAACCTTCTCGGGGACGACCCCTACCCCGCCTTCCTTCCTCAATAAATTTATATGCTCTCGAAGTCATTCCACTTTGTTCCATTCTCCATTCCAAACCACCTCAACAGCCCCTCTTCAGCCCTCTGACAAATACTTTTAGTAACTCCACACCTCCTAATTTCCAAACTCCGAATTCTCTGCATAATATTTACACCACACACTGCTTTTAGACACGACATTTCCACCGCCTCCAAACGCCTCCTCGCTGCAGCATTTACAACCCAAGCTTCATACTCATATAAGAGTGTTGGTACCACTATACTCTCATACATTCCCTTCTTTGCCTCCATGAATAACGTTCTTTGTCTCCACAGATACCTCAATGCACCACTCACTTTTTTTCCTTCATTATTAACTCTATGGTTTACCTCATCCTTCGTAAACCCATCCACTGACAAGTCAACTCCCAAATATCTGAGAACATTCACTTCTTCCATACTCTCTCCCTCCAATGTGATATCCAATTTTTCTTTTTCTTAATCGCTTGATACCCTCACCACCTTACTCTTATCTATGTTTACTTTCAACTTTCTACCTTTACACGCTCCCAAACTCGTTCACTAACCTTTGCAACTTTTCTTGAGAATCCCCCCAAAAGCACAATATCATCAGCAAAAATTAACTATGTCAACTCCCATTTTGTATTTGATTCCCCATAATTTAATCCCACCCCTCTCCTGAACACCCTAGCATTTACTTCTTTTACAACCCCATCTATAAATGTTAAACAACTATGGTGACATTACACATACCTGTCTAAGACTTACTTGTACCGGGAAGTAATCTCTCTCTCTCTCTAAGAGAGAGAGAGAGAGAGAGAGAGAGAGAGAGAGAGAGAGAGAGAGAGAGAGAGAGAGAGAGAGAGAGAGAGAGAGAGAGAGAGAGAGAGAGAGAGAGAGAGACTCATTCTCTCCTTGGATAAAACAGTACTTACGTTCAAGTAAGAGGTGAATAATCTCCACGTTGGGTGCCCAGGGATGATACTCGAGGAGGTTGAAGGCAGCTGAGGCGCCACACCACACAAGAGAGGAAGGCCACAGTGGCAGGCACACACAGACGGCAGGCCAGTGTTGCAACACCAGCACAGGCACACACAACAGGGATGCGAGCACAAGGCAGGTTCATGCACAGGGTTCAGAGAATAACATTTAGAGTATACCAAAGGGTGATATACCAGGGGCTAAGGGGAATATATCAGGGCGAGGACCATGCACATGGTTAACAGAATAATACCGAGTATACCCAAAGGGTGATATACCAGGGGCTAAGGGGCATATATCAGGGCGAGGATCATGCACAAGGTTAACAGAGTAACACCGAGAGTATACCCAAAGGGTGATATACCAGGGGCTAAGGGGCATATATCAGGGCGAGGATCATGCACCGAGGGCATACCAAAGGGGGGTGGGGAAAAAAGGGGAGCATACCAAGGGAAGGGAGTTATATATCAAGGGGGCGAGGATCATGCAAAGGAAAAAATGCAAGAAAACGAAGTAAAAAAAAAATAAACAGGATGAAAAAAAAAATAAAAACGTAAAGAAAAGGTAAAAAAAATAAGCCAAAAACAGAGAGTAAACAAGTCATAAACAAAACAGAGAGTAAACAAGTCATAAACAAAACAGAGCATAAACAAGTCATAAACAAAACAGAGCGTAAACAAGTCATAAACAAAACAGAGCGTAAACAAGTCATAAACAAAACAGAGAGTAAACAAGTCATAAACAAAACAGAGCGTAAACAAGTCATAAACAAAACAGAGCGTAAACAAGTCATAAACAAAACAGAGCGTAAACAAGTCATAAACAAAAAAGTTTGAACCATAAGTGACGTCACACATAGACAATTATAAACTGTCCAAACACAACATTATAATCAAGGCGAATTGTGTAGATAAAAAAAAAAAATATATATAAAAATGGACAACGTTTCGCCCTACAGAGTTTCGTCACGGAGCGAAACATGGCCCCAGCAGCAGCTTTTCTCCACCACTGTTTGCTGTACGACAGTTCGGGTCCACAACCAAAAACTATCACGAAGACAAATACCAAATTAATCAAATGCAAACAAGGGAAATTTCAAACAAAACGAGATGCAAACACAACTTGTAAAGAAAACAAGAGGGAAACAAGCAGATAAAGAACAGGAGAATATCCAAACATATATGACACGTACCTCAAGTATGTATTCCAGATATTCCCACACATTCCCACTTTCATTCCAGGGATTCCCACTGGTCATTCCAGAGATTCCTATTTGTCATTCCAAGGATTCTCACTCATAAGTCCAGGGATTCCCACTGATTATTCCAAGGATTCTCACTGGTCATTTCAAGGATTCTCACTGCCCATTCCAGGGATTCCCACTGATCATTCCAGGGATTCCCACTGGTCATTCCAGGGATTCCCACTGGTCATTCCAGGGATTCCCACTGGTCATTCCAGGGATTCCCACTGGTCATTCCAGAGATTCCTATTTGTCATTCCAAGGATTCTCACTGGTCATTTCAAGGATTCTCACTGATTATTCCAGGGATTCCCACTGGTCATTCCAGGGATTCCCACTGGTCATTCCAGGGATTCCCACTGGTCATTCCAGGGATTCCCACTGGTCATTCCAGGGATTCCCACTGGTCATCCCAGGTATTCCCACTGGTCATTCCAAGAATTCCTCCTGACTATTACTTGAACATTCCAAAAAATTCCCCCAGTTGAACACACAACATTATACAAATTCCCACTGAACCAAATCTGAACATCGTCAGAAATTCTCATTAACTGTAACATAAATATTCCGGGAATTCCCATTCGGAATTCCCTGCATTCCTACGACACCCGGATATTGCAAGCATTCCAACCTGACCTGTCTTGAACACTCAGCGCACTCCCGCAGAACACGAATTGAACGTTCAAATTCTAACTGAACCTAACCTCAGCGGCAGTGACGTGAGAGGTTTAAAACAGGACCCATGTGAGGTGTGTCTGATCTACCATGTGAGGTGTGTCTGATCTACCATGTGAGGTGTGTCTGAGCTACCATGTGAGGTGTGTCTGGGCTACCATGTGAGGTGTGTCTGAGCTACCATGTGAGGTGTGTCTGAGCTACCATGTGAGGTGTGTCTGAGCTACCATGTGAGATGTGTCTGAGCTACCATGTGAGGTGTGTCTGGGCTACCATGTGAGGTGTGTCTGAGCTACCATGTGAGGTGTGTCTGAGCTACCATGTGAGGTGTGTCTGGGCTACCATGTGAGGTGTGTCTGAGCTACCATGTGAGGTGTGTCTGGGCTACCATGTGAGGTGTGTCTGATCTACCATGTGAGGTGTGTCTGGGCTACCATGTGAGGTGTGTCTGATCTACCATGTGAGGTGTGTCTGGGCTACCATGTGAGGTGTGTCTGAGCTACCATGTGAGGTGTGTCTGGGCTACCATGTGAGGTGTGTCTGATCTACCATGTGAGGTGTGTCTGAGCTACCATGTGAGATGTGTCTGGGCTACCATGTGAGGTGTGTCTGGGCTACCATGTGAGGTGTGTCTGAGCTACCATGTGAGGTGTGTCTGGGCTACCATGTGAGGTGTGTCTGGGCTACCATGTGAGGTATGTCTGGGCTACCATGTGAGGTGTGTCTGGGCTACCATGTGAGGTGTGTCTGGGCTACCATGTGAGGTGTGTCTGAGCTACCATGTGAGGTGTGTCTGGGCTACCATGTGAGGTGTGTCTGGGCTACCATGTGAGGTGTGTCTGGGCTACCATGTGAGGTGTGTCTATTCTATCATGTGACTGATGGCTCTCTGCTCTATCATGTGACTGAGGGCTCTCTGCTCTATCATGTGATTGAAGGCTCTCTTCTCTATCATGCGACTGAGGGCTCTCTGCTCTATCATGTGACTGATGGCTCTCTGCTCTATCATGTGATTGAAGGCTCTCTGCTCTATCATGTGACTGATGGCTCTCTTCTCTAAATGCGACTGAAGGCTCTCTGCTCTATCATGTGACTGAGGGCTCTCTGCTCTATCATGCGACTGATGGCTCTCTTCTCTATCATGTGACTGATGGCTCTCTTCTCTATCATGCGACTGAGGGCTCTCTGCTCTATCATGCGACTGATGGCTCTCTGCTCTATCATGCGACTGATGGCTCTCTGCTCTATCATGTGACTGAGGGCTCTCTGCTCTATCATGTGACTGATGGCTCTCTGCTCTATCATGTGACTGATGGCTCTCTGCTCTATCATGTGACTGATGGCTCTCTGCTCTATCATGTGACTGATGGCTCTCTTCTCTATCATGTGACTGAGGGCTCTCTGCTCTATCATGCGACTGATGGCTCTCTGCTCTATCATGTGACTGAGGGCTCTCTGCTCTATCATGTGACTGATGGCTCTCTGCTCTATCATGTGACTGATGGCTCTCTGCTCTATCATGTGACTGATGGCTCTCTGCTCTATCATGTGACTGATGGCTCTCTTCTCTATCATGTGACTGAGGGCTCTCTGCTCTATCATGCGACTGATGGCTCTCTGCTCTATCATGTGACTGAGGGCTCTCTGCTCTATCATGTGACTGATGGCTCTCTGCTCTATCATGTGACTGATGGCTCTCTGCTCTATCATGTGACTGATGGCTCTCTGCTCTATCATGTGAGGTTTTTGTCTGCGCTACCCATGTGAGTGCTCTCTGCGCTATGTGAAGCTCTGCGCTACCACGTAGAGTGTCAGCGCTACCATGTAGTGTCAGCGCTACCATGTAGAGTGTCAGCGCTACCATGTAGTGTCAGCGCTACCATGTAGTGTCAGCGCTACTATGTAGTGTCAGCGCTACCATGTAGAGTGTCAGCGCTACCATGTAGAGTGTCAGCGCTACCATGTCGAGTGTCAGCGCTACCATATAGTGTCAGCGCTACCATGTCGAGTGTCAGCGCTACCATATAGTGTCAGCGCTACCATAAAGTGTCAGCGCTACCATGTCGAGTGTCAGAGCTACCATATAGTGTCAGTGCTACCATATAGTGTCAGTGCTACCATATAGTGTCAGCGCTACCATGTCGAGTGTCAGCGCTACCATATAGTGTCAGCGCTACCATATAGCGTCAGCGCTACCATATAGTGTCAGCGCTACCATGTCGAGTGTCAGCGCTACCATGTCGAGTGTCAGCGCTACCATACAGTGTCAGCACTACCATGTCGAGTGTCAGCGCTACCATGTCGAGTGTCAGCGCTACCATATAGTGTCAGCGCTACCATATAGTGTCAGCGCTACCATGTAGAGTGTCAGCGCTACTATGTAGAGTGTCAGCGCTACTATGTATAGTGTCAGCGCTACCATATAGTGTCAGCGCTACCATGTAGAGTGTCAGCGCTACCATATAGTGTCAGCGCTACCATGTAGAGTGTCAGTGCTACTATGTAGAGTGTCAGCGCTACTATGTAGAGTGTCAGCGCTACCATATAGTGTCAGCGCTACAATGTAGAGTGTCAGCGCTACTATGTAGAGTGTCAGCGCTACCATATAGTGTCAGCGCTACCATGTAGAGTGTCAGCGCTACCATATAGTGTCAGCGCTACCATGTAGAGTGTCAGCGCTACTATGTAGAGTGTCAGCGCTACTATGTAGAGTGTCAGCGCTACTATGTAGAGTGTCAGCGCTACCATATAGTGTCAGCGCTACAATGTAGAGTGTCAGCGCTACTATGTAGAGTGTCAGCGCTACTATGTAGAGTGTCAGCGCTACCATATAGTGTCAGCGCTACAATGTAGAGTGTCAGCGCTACTATGTAGAGTGTCAGCGCTACTATGTAGAGTGTCAGCGCTACCATATAGTGTCAGCGCTACATTGAGGCTTCAGCTGAGAAACCCACTTCACACTTCACTAAGTCGTACTTCAAGTGTTGATAACCCAGCTCACAACCCCCCCCCCCACCTAATGTTAAGACTATTTCCTATTATTATTATTATTATTATTATTATTATTATCATTATTATTATATTGCAACTACTACTACTACTACTAATAATAATAGTGAAAATTCACTGGAAATCTGCCTCCATTTACTATACAGCAGAAAGTTGTGCTTAATAAAACACCAAAAAAATTAAAAATCTTCCACACGAAGAGTAATAAAGAATAAAATTAACAATAATAATAATAATTAACGAATAACTGTAATACAGAAACACATACAAATGATTGTTTACGTACGGGAGAGAAAGAGAGAGAGAGAGGGAGAGAGAGAGAGAGAGAGAGAGAGAGAGAGAGAGAGAGAGAGAGAGAGAGAGAGAGAGAGAGAGAGAGAGAGAGAGAGATCCCATTAAGACACCAGCCTTAAGGGCAGACTCTTGTACATGTTGCTAGTCCCTTAGGTTACTGGCTGCAACAGAGGACTATCAGTGCTGCAACAGAGAACTATCAGTGCTGCAACAGAGAACTATCAGTGTTGCACCAGAGAACTATCAGTGTTGCAACAAACAACTATCAGTGTTGCAACAGAGGACTATCAGTGCTGCAACAGAGAACTATCAGTGCTGCAACAGAGGACTATCAGTGCTGCAACAGAGGACTATCAGTGCTGCAACAGAGAACTATCAGTGTTGCAACAGAGAACTATCAGTGTTGCAACAAAGAACTATCAGTGTTGCAACAGAGAACTATCAGTGTTGCAACAGAGGACTATCAGTGCTGCAACAGAGAACTATCAGTGTTGCAACAGAGGACTATCAGTGCTGCAACAGAGAACTATCAGTGCTGCAACAGAGAACTATCAGTGCTGCAACAGAGAACTATCAGTGCTGCAACAGAGAACTATCAGTGCTGCAACAGATAACTATCAGTGTTGCAACAGAGAACTATCAGTGCTGCAACAGAGAACTATCAGTGCTGCAACAGAGAACTATCAGTGCTGCAACAGAGAACTATCAGTGTTACAACAGAGAACTATCAGTGCTGCAACAGAGAACTATCAGTGCTGCAACAGAGAACTATCAGTGCTGCAACAGAGAACTATCAGTGTTGCAACAGAGAACTATCAGTGTTTACAACAGAGAACTATCAGTGCTGCAACCGAGAACTATCAGTGCTGCAACAGAGAACTATCAGTGTTGCACCAGAGAACTATCAGTGTTTACAACAGAGAACTATCAGTGTTTACAACAGAGGACTATCAGTGCTGCAACAGAGAACTATCAGTGCTGCAACAGAGGACTATCAGTGCTGCAACAGAGGACTATCAGTGCTGCAACAGAGAACTATCAGTGCTGCAACAGAGGACTATCAGTGCTGCAACAGAGAACTATCAGTGCTGCAACAGAGAACTATCAGTGCTGCAACAGAGAACTATCAGTGCTGCAACAGAGGACTGTCAGTGCTGCAACAGAGAACTATCAGTGCTGCAACAGAGAACTATCAGTGGTGCAACAGAGAACTATCAGTGGTGCAACAGAGAACTATCAGTGCTGCAACAGAGAACTATCAGTGTTGCAACAGAGAACTATCAGTGCTGCAACAGAGAACTATCAATGCTGCAACAGAGGACTATCAGTTTTGCAACAGAGAACTATCAGTGGTGCAATAGAGAACTATCAGTGCTGCAACAGAGAACTATCAGTGTTGCAACAGAGAACTATCAGTGGTGCAACAGAGAACTATCAGTGTTGCAACAGAGAACTATCAGTGGTGCAACAGAGAACTATCAGTGTTGCAACAGAGGACTATCAGTGTTGCAACAGAACTATCAGTGTTGCAACAGAGAACTATCAGTGTTGCAACAGAGAACTATCAGTGTTGCAACAGAGAACTATCAGTGTTGCAACAGAGAACTATCAGTGTTGCAACAGAGAACTATCAGTGTTGCAACAGAAAACTATCAGTGTTGCAACAGAGAACTATCAGTGCTGCAACAGAGGACTAACAATACAACTAAGTACACCATCAATTAAGACCATCCCAGAAGTGCACATTACCAAACAAACAAAATAGTACAAACATATACAATTAAAAATTACTACAAAAGAGAGAGAGCTGCGGAAATATTGCAACACAAACACAAAACTTGAAGGAAAAAAAAATAGGTCACAATGCAAAGATACAAATACAGAATAATATTAAAAATGAAAATTGGAGTATATTACCTTCTAGTCTTGAAACCCAGTCAAGCATCTTAGGCAGATATGTGCTGATCTTCTTTCAAATTCTGCTCATAAAACTGACTGTCAAGCTAGTCATAGTGTAAACTATTTACGTAAATATCCCATATATATATATATATATAATATATATATAAATATATATATATATATATATAATATATATATATATATAATATATATATATAATAGTATATACATATATAATCACAAGTTTGCTAATTTATAAACGTTTGTAAGATGGCTCGTTGCTCTGTCAAGAAAAGTTTAACAATGAATATTGAAATACTTACCCATGGTCAGAAGATAACTGTGGAGTTCCTCGATGGAATCCTCAGAAGCCTCAGAGAAAACTCACTTGAGAAAAGCCCCCGAATAAAGCACGGTAAGTCAAAGAAAAATGGCTTACAATTCTCACGGGAAAAATGGCTTAGGTCAATCTTCAGAGAAAGTAACTGACGACAACACTCAAAGAAAGTGGATTAAGACAGCTTGAAGAAAAAGACATTAGATTACGAGAGTCCTCAAAGAAAGTAACCCTTCATTACCTTCAAGATAGTTTCCCCTGAAGCAAACAGCCTTTCATTTTCTTCAAAACTAAGTTTTCCTTGAAGGAAGAAGTCTTAAATTGTCTTCAAGACTAAGTTTTACCTGAAGAAAGAAGCCTTAATTATCTTCAAGATAGTAAGTTTGCCTTGAAGGAAGGAGCACCAGTGGTGATGACATAACTGCTCCTTCTAAGACAACGAAGGATGAGTGGAGGTCCTACACGCATCTACAAGTTCCAGGAGGAAAGGACTAGAAAGTGGAGAAGAGAAACAAGAAGATGAAGAAGAAAAGTAGAAGACAAGATGAAGGACAAAAGAATAAGAAGAAGAAGAATAGGAAGAAGAAAAGTAGAAGAAAAAATGAGAATAAGAGGAAAAGAAGAAAAGATAAACAGAAGAGTACGAGGAACAAAAAAAAAGTAGAAGAGGAAAAGCAGAAGAAAAGAAGAAGAAGAGGAGGAAGAGAAAGAAGTCACATAGGGTGAGGGAGGAGGAAGAAAAGGAATAAAAATAGAATGAGATGTCTCTCACCAAGAAGAGACTGTGAGACAGAGGCTTACAGTCTTCACTTACACTTGGGTGTGATACAAAAAAAAAACAATATTAATGTTACTGGAGGAGGGAGAGAAGGGGAGGGGAAGGAAGGATAGAGAGAGGGGAGAGGGAAAGTGGACAAGAAGAGTCATATTTCACAGTGATGAACTCGAGAACGACAAATGTATCACACTTCCTGAGGGATGCCTCAATAACCTGGCTAGATGACATGTATTTGTGCTGAGAGAGAGAGAGAGAGAGAGAGAGAGAGAGAGAGAGAGAGAGAGAGAGAGAGAGAGAGAGAGAGAGAAGAGAGAGAGAGAGAGAGAGAGAGAGAGAGAGAGAATAAATACTTGTGCATACTTTGTACAATATACGTACAACCAATACTGTCAAATAACTGAAAGAAAAAACACAAGCGTCAGTCACACACACACACACACACATACACACACACACACACACACACACACACACAGGAGCTGTGAATCGACTCCTGCAACCACATATGCGTGAATCCACACACAAACACAGGATCCACACATAACTTTAACACGGTATAACAGGGCTGTCGCAGCCGGAAGCGCACCCAATAGCGGCCAGCGAAGAGACGTTGCCAGGAGGCGAGACTCGACTCCCTGGAACCACAAATAAGTGAGTATACACATTAAGAAAAAACAACCCGAGGTTGTCTTACTCTGCAAACAGTCGGCGTTGAGGAGGTCCTTGCACTTCTCGTGGCACTTGACGCCACACTCGACACAGCGAACACCCTGGCGAGCGATGCCCCACAACAGGCCCTCACACTCGTAACAGTAGGTGGGCGAGGTAGCCGTCCACATGAGGAAGTTGTGAGGTGTCGTAGAGGAGATGGGGTAGATCAACGCTTGTAGAGTCTTCTTGTACACATGCATTTTCTGCTCGATGGAGGGGGAGGTTAAGGTGGAGAGAGAGAAAGTGCTTGTGTTAATATCGAGAATTGGCAAAGGGGAGGAGAGGGGGGGGGGCTGTGGGTGAGTTTCATGATGGTAGTGGATGGTTATGGGGGGAGATCATGGCAGTTATGGCTGTGGTGGGGAGGAGGGAGCACTGTGATCGTTGGTTGGTTAAGGGAGAGTGGTGCAGTGGTTGGAGGAGGGTGGAGGGTTATGGCCCTGGGCCATGAAGAGTCATGATGGAAGGTCATGGTGGGTGACCACGACGCAAGGTCATGGCCAGGAAACAAGTAGAGGTCAAAGCCAGGAAATAGGTGAGGCCAGGACCAAGAAACAGGTGAGGTCAAGGAGAGTGAAGCAGTGACTAGGTCGAGGTTGGACCCTTTCAGACCCACTCAACGGAAGCAGCACTGCTATACAGCACCAAGGAAATAGAACAAAAAAAAGGAAGGATAACAGGCAATGACAAAAATATAAAAGCAAGAATATATTATACTAAAAGATGCTGTCAGGATATAGCAGAAAAAGTAGGAGAAATTATTAAGGATCATTCTGACTTTATACTCTCAAGAAAATATAAAAAAAATATATATATAATTTTAAGTGACATATACGAGATTACAAATTCTTCAAGCAAACGTTATTTTCATTATTTATATTTATTATTATTATTGTTATTAATAATACAGTAATACAGGCTTACAGTGAGACATTATATATATATATATATATATATATATATATATATATATATATATATATATATATATATATATATATATATATATATATATATATATGTATAGAGGAGCTGACATGGAAAATTAGTCAACAGAGGAAATTTAGGAAGTGGACGAGGACAAATTGAGAATTGATGAATTGTTGGGAAAATGATAATAATTTTAGACACAGACAAGGAACTGAGGACCATCAAGATATTAAATGATAAAAAAAGATCAATTTCGATATGGATATAGTAAAATAAACAATTAGAAAAAAAATTATAATAACCTTTATGCAGACCTTAATATAACTGAGTTAATATTTCAGCGCTCTATGTCACCTCTGGTAGATAAGTGGTCACGGGATTTACGAAAAAAAAGTCAGTAGCGAAGAATAAATAGGAAAACGGGTTAGTAAGGTGACAGACAACCACCATTTCTAGATTTCAACGCTTTCACCAGGATCTGTGACTGCTGTCTTGATTGATAACCTGCATTTAGGACAGTGTCCCGCTCCTTCCTGGACCAATGTCAAGTGACGTATTTCTGGACCAATGTCAAGTGACGTATTTCTGGACCAATGTCAAGTGACGTATTTCTGGACCAATGTCAAGTGACGTATTTCTGGACCAGTGTCCAGTAAAGTATTTCTGGACCAGTGTCCAGTAGAGTATTTCTGGACCAGTGTCAAGTAGTGTATTTCTGAACCAGTGTCAAGTAAAGTATTTCTGGGCCAGCGTCAAGTAAAGTATTTCTGGATCAGTGTCAAGTGGCGTATTTCTGGACCAGTGTCAAGTAAGAGTATTTCTGGACCAGTGTCAAGTAGAGTATTTCTGGACCAGTGTCAAGTAAAGTATTTCTGGACCAGTGTCAAGTAAAGTATTTCTGGACCAGTGTCAAGTAAGAGTATTTCTGGACCAGTGTCAAGTAAGAGTATTTCTGGACCAGTGTCAAGTAAAGTATTTCTGGACCAGTGTCAAGTAAAGTATTTCTGGACCAGTGTCAAGTAAGAGTATTTCTGGACCAGTGTCAAGTAGAGTATTTCTGGACCAGTGTCAAGTAAGAGTATTTCTGGACCAGTGTCAAGTAGAGTATTTCTGGACCAGTGTCAAGTAAAGTATTTCTGGACCAGTGTCAAGTAAGAGTATTTCTGGACCAGTGTCAAGTAAAGTATTTCTGGACCAGCGTCAAGTAACGTGTTCCTGGGGTAGTGTCAAGTGATGTTCCTAGACCACTTTCAAGTGACGTCTTCCTGGACCAGTGTCCAGTGACGTTTACCTGAACAAGAGTCAAGTGATCTCTCTAGACGTGACAGTATTAAATTTAAAATCGTTCAGGTTAAAAACGAATGAAAAAATGAAAAAAATAATCAATAATAAATAATATTAAAATATATGAAAATATACCCATAATAAAATCTGTAATATCTTTATTGTTAGTTAAAATATCTTTATTGTTAGTTAAAATGAGACATAAGCATCTATTGCGATATTTGATTGTTGCCACAATATCACATTATTTGCACATGTCTCCATTTACCTAACATATTGTAGGAAATTCTACCAACATCATTACATTATTTATATTCTTGCAGAGCCTCGGTGTGGCGATCCAGAGAAGGAACGCCCGTTGCGTCCTTGCTTCCCTCCTGCCTCCCAGGAACCTGATAAGCTTCACAACTTACATGCTGGCACATCTTTTACAGATGTATGTATTTACTAGGCATTCCTCAACCTAACTGTAATTATCCAGGTAAAATATAATTTCACAGAGATTAGTAGAAGACATAGTCGAGCGTTCCTCAAGGAGAGTACTTCAGAATTTTAATAATGACGCTTCTTTGATTATCTTTTCCGAGGCTGTGGGTCCTAACAATCATGTACATACGAGCAAATACATAGTATATATATACATGTATATATATACATGTATATATATACATGTATGTATATACATGTATGTATATATAAATATATATATATATATATATATATATATATATATATATTATATATATATATATATATATATATATTATATATTATATATATATATACATATATATACAGTGGACCCTCGAATTTAGTAGTGCCTTTTCTGTATGCAAAACTATTTTTATTATCTATAAAATGTATTGTTTGTTAATATTTTTGGGTGTCTGGAATGGTTTAATTGGATTTACATTATTTCCTATGGGAAATAGGAAATATTAAAAACATACATTTTATAGATAATAAAAATAGTTTTGCATAAAGAAAAGGCACTACTAAATTCGAGGGTCCACTGTATATATATATTATATATATTATATATATATATATATTATATATATATATATATAATATATATATATATATATAAATAACCACGGAGGAGTTAAATGATAGTTCTAGGCCTTTCGTGTTGCAATCAACACATCGTCAGGAGTTTGCAATGTTGCAGAAATTAGGAGGGGAGGTCCGAGCAGATACGATCACAAGGACATCCTCCTCTTTTCTGCACCACTGCAAGCTCCTGATGTGTTGATTGCAACACGAATAACTCAGAGCCATCATTCCGCTCCCCCCGTGATTGTTTTGCACATTAAATATACACAGACATTTACATACTTGCTGACACAAACATATGCCCACGCTGAACCACCTGAAGGATGGGATTAAGGGATTTTTACAGCAGATTAGGTGCCAGG